TAATTGCCAGATTTGGAGGATCGTGACTTTAAAGGGTAAGTAACACATTGCTTCACTGCAATTTTGACAGTTATCTTGCTCTACTATCATTTGTATCATCAACAATAAGTAGATAACGTCCAGTAGTACGGCAATATTTGTACAAATAAATCTTCTTCTAACATAGTCTGCCTTAAATCAATCCGTAGACCATTTCTACACTGAGGACAAAAATATAATAATGTATGCCATTCCTGTTCCAAAGTGATCCTAGTTTGCTGCATGTAGATTTTGAATTTTCTTATTTCCTTCAATTTCTGAATATGGTCCAGAAGTGCCCAACACAGAGGGTAAATGCAACACTTTCCAACTCTGTGTCCTTGGCAGACAGTAGTAAAAATGCTTGCATTTTCTTCAGCTTAGCCTCTTTCTCACAAACCTTCTCAACAGTTCTAGCTGTTGTTCTGCCACTTGATCAGAATTGGCAGGATATATACTTACAGCAAAGGGTGTTCTGGTATTTTTGAAATAGTAAATGGAGTTGAATATGATGTGTTAAATTTCCTTCTCGAGAGCTTGTTTGGAGGTTCTAACAGGCAAGCGCAGCTACTCTTACACCCTTGATGGGGAGGAAACCATCCTCCTCTATTGGGTTGGTCGTCCTTTTTGTCCTAGCGCACAGCTTCAAGAGGGACACACATGGAGCGGTGAGGGAGGAAAGGGACACCCGCCTAGCCAGCCAGAGCAGCTGAATCAACTGTGGAGATCAATGGGGTGACAGATGTCACAGCCAGATTGCCCTCACATCCTTAATTTCCTTCTTAAAACTGAGATGTTGAGGAATTTTCTTTGATTCCTAATTTCTAGTTCATTGACAAATTGCTGATTTTGTGTCCTTGGTTTAGAGGAAAGGTGAATGGGGATGTGTTTTGCTCACAATAGCTCTGATACTTTGGCAAGTAAATTTTGGCAAGTCTGCCACATCTGTTGAGCACTTACTGGTTTACCAAGTAATGAATAATGAGGATGTAGAGAGATAAAGGGGAATCAAATGCTCCCTCTCCAAATGACAGAAATTGTACAAATAAAAAATTTTTAACAGCAGTAGCTAATGGTTTGCTAAAGATATTCAAGAGAAAGAGACAAAGTTTAAGTGCTACCTCTGCCACAACCATTGAAATGGTAATAACCCATGCTCAGAAGGAAGTCTCCATGATGTAGCTACGGGTTGTGGGCACTTCATGGCTCAGGTCCATTTCTTTGCCCTCTGGAAGTACAAAGGTAGACTTGCAGAAGCCATGTCCTCTTATGGCCATGGAAGACTGTCCCTGTCCTGATTACGGTTATTGACCGATCCAAAACTGAGCCAATGAAATTCTCTCTCTCTGGAATTTGCCCTTGGAATGAAGAGAACCAGGACTGTCCTGAGAGAGAGAGATGAAGCCACACATACATACATGTTTTCCAAAAGGAAAGGATACAGCTTTTGCTGCTGAGGTCCTGAAGTCATTCTGGATCCTGCTGCCTTGGAGCTTTATCAGGCTTAAAATCCTGAAGAACTATGCTGAGGACTGCATGCAACAAGAACACTGCCATCACTCTTCTTCTTTAGACCACCTTTGAACACTGAAATAACCTAGTTTTCCGACAAATCCTCCCTCCCCTCCCCTCCGTTCCCCCACCTTCCTTCCCCTCCCCTCCTCTCCCTTCCTCTTCCGCCCTCTTCCTTTCCTTTTACTTTCCTTTCCCTTGCTATCTTGATCTTTTTCTGCTGCCAAGCAAAACACCAGAGACAGAGTACTATATAAAGAAAAGAGGTTTATTTAGCTCACAGTTTTGGAGGCCAAAAGCCTAACATCCAGTGGCCCCTATCTGGCCTCTGGTGGGGACTCCATTGGCTGCATCCTAACATGTTAGAGAAGCAGGAAGGAAATGGCTGTGTGTAGATGGGATGAGTGCATCAGATGGTCTTGCTTTCTAAGAACTTGCTCTCTTGACCATTCAGTGGGCTCCAGTGAGTGAGACTCACATCCATCCCTTCTGAAGGCAGCACCTACTGATCTAAGCACCTTTCATTCTGTCCACTCTTTAAAGTTTGCTCTGGAGACCGAGCTTTCCAACACATAGACCTTTCCAGACATATTTAGCACAAACCGAACCATAGCACTCCATCCACCCTCAGCTAGCCAGTCAGATGCTGTTATCTGAAAAAAAAGAGAACTTTAACTAATATAAAACATTATTTTGACATTAATGTTCAATGAAATAGGGGGAATGGAATCGTGATAATTGTCAAATAAGGAAGCTAAGGCTTGCAGTATTTCAATGAGACCCTGGGTCACTCAGCTATTTAGTGGCAGTCAGGATTCAGACATAGTTAAGCCCATGTGATTGTAGAGCCAATATTACAAGAAAATGTTTGTTTCTGCAATGTAGTGAAGCAAGATCTGCCCTCTTTGTTCCCCAGAAGACTGAAAAATTGCCTTCAGACAGCTGCAGCTCTGGGGACAAGGAAAGTAGCTCCTCAAAACCTAGAGCAACCCTTTCTTTTCTTTTTAGCCTCACTAGCTTTTGGATGTTAGCCTTAACATACAACAAAAACTATGTTGGAGATGCTAGCAACATTAGGACTCCCTGACTATTGCCTACCCACCAATCCTTCTTTTTAAAAATGTAGATCAATAGTAATTCCAGAAAGATTTTCTTTATTGATTTTATCCAGTGCTTTTTAATTTTTAACAGAGGTTGGAAAGAAAGTGAGGCCAGGAGTGGGAGTGGGTGGTGCTCAGACTCAAACAGTGGCACAGTGCATCCTGAGTAATTCCCCTTTTATGGCATGGGGCATATCCTACTTTTGCCTCCCAGAGCTACTATTTCTAGCCTGCTCTCTGGCCATGACATTGACTTGCTTGATTTGCATAAGTGGGCTCCCCTGGGTCTTGGCTAAAGGAGGGTCCCAGCAGTAGATTTGGAAAAGAAGGAGACAGAGATCAGGGTACCAGTCCCCTTCATCCTCTCTAAGGGATCACCTCAGGTAGACTGTTTCTCTGAACCCAAGGGCACTCTGCTCACACATAAGCCTCTCTTCACTGTCCTCAGGAGTTCCACTGACTACACTTTTTCACTCCGCTTCACTTCTAGGGTGGCATCAGCTGCACAGTTTCCCATCTTGGAATTCTGCACCACCCCTAGGATATCCCCGCCAACACTTTTGTAAATGGTCCCTCTTGAGTCACCCTCCTATGAGTGTACTTCTCTCTGGTTAGGTTCCTGCCTGGTGCTCCTTGTAAGTGATTTTCCTAATTGGTCCATCTTCCTACGTCCCCTCATCTTTTTTTTTTTTTTTTTTAATTTTCATTGGCATGCAAACCTAGTGCTCTGTGGTCAGTACTCCCTGGGAGAGGTCAGTCATTTAAATAATAATTAAACCTGTTATCCAATAGGCCAAAGATTCTCTGCAGCTGCATATCCTGCAAGGCAAACCAGGCCTCATACACTCAAGGTCAAAGAGAAAACAAAGCTGGGGGAGGCTGATTCACAGAAATCACTCATTATATTCCCTTCCCCTTCCTGCTCCTTTCATGGGCATTGTATTTAATTTTTGAGTGGCATGTCCCCTGTTTCTCAGGACAGAAGGACAGAGATGTTGATACTTTTTGCACAAATACTGCATTTGCTCTGAAATTCAGTTGCACTTGAATTCCCCAGACAGTGTGGACAAATATGCACAATTCTCATTTGGTAACAGAGGACATGGAAGTCCCAGGGAGGGGCAGTAACTTGCATGGGATCACAGAACATCTGATAGCAGAACTGAGACCAGACCTGAACTTTCTGATTGCTGAACAGCAGTGTACATGTATGGCCTGTGTGACTTTTCGTCAACAATATTCAGTTTAGGTCTTTATTATCTTGCTAAAGGAATTGTTCTCAGCTTTCTTGTTCCTTACCAACCCTAGTGCTCCAGACTCCACTGCATGGATCAACAGCAAGATAAAAGGGCACCTCCTGGAGAAGGAAGTGGGTTGGGACCAAATGCTACAATCTGCTGATTCCCTTGTGGGGACGGCCGTGGACAGTCCACTCCCATGTTGCTTGGACAAGCCCTCAACACACCAAATGAATAGGCTCAGCCTTTCCAGGGCTGGCTCCATTTGGATGTTTTAAGTGGATTGCATGGGAGGGAATGACTCACATGTGGGGTGGTAATGAAATTTTGGAGATGAATACCTGTAGAAGAACAAAAAAGCTTCAGGCCCTGTAGGGCTTGAGGATGTCCAGAGCTTATCCACTGATGCTAGGGAATTACAAGAACTCTCAATTTAGACTGATTAAATAAGTGGGGCAGGAAATAATATAAAATACATGGCATGGTAATTTGCTTTTCAAAGAGGCTTTTCCTATCCTCTCTTCTTCCCATCTCCTTCTGTGACAGTTACGCACCCAGATGAATGTGCATGCTCAGTAATTTTATTATCAGTACAGGATGAGCTCCTTTTCTCCTCTTTCCTGTAGTCCAAGGTGAATTTTAGCACAGTGACTTAGGTAACAATTTTTGAATAATAGTTCTTCAGATATGAAAAGTATTCTGCTTCCAGGACACAGGCTCAGGCACTGGCAAACTTTGCATCATTTTGTAAACCTTTTGAAGGCTCCATGGGACTGAGCAGCACACACAGCCTCACTGTGATGCAGCAGGAGAAGCGGGGGGATCGGTAGGAGGCTGGTGGAGAGAAGCACTGCCTGAGAGCAGGAGGGCACTGGCTCTCACTCAGCCTCTCAGCAGATGCGCCACCTTAGGCCAGTTCTCTGACTTCTGCGGGACTCTGAGAAATAGTTCGACCACTGATGAACTTAGGTGATTGCTAAGCTCCTGTGTACTTCCAACATTGTGCAGCAGAACACATTCGCCCTGCATGCCAATTTACAGCATGCTAATCCAGTCAATGGTTTACATTGTTAACCCAGTCAGACTTCACCACAAGCCATCTCATGAACTGAGAAAATTGTGCCCTGAGAGGACATGAGATTGGCTTTAAGGTAACAGACCAAATAGATAGGAAGGACAGTCAGCTTTGGAAAGAATGCAGATTTCTCACTCTGAAGCCACATTCAGGTTGTAACCCCAGGCTGCCTCTGAAGAAATGGCCCTCTATGCTTTGACTTCCTATGGCAGGACAGTGAGACTTTTCAACAACAGTTTAAGAAGAAAAAAAGGCAGGTTTGCAGTTCTGCCATGTGAAATTGCAGTCAGTCAAGCGTGGTAACTTTTCAAGGGCCACACCGTGAGCTGTTTCCGGAGTGGGGAAAACCTTGATTTCATTGGAAGCTGAAATCCCTGAAGAAGACCTCCGTGAAGGTTCATGATCCACGCATGTGTGTGAGTGTGCAGCCTGGTACAGGGCAGGTGCTCCTGGCAGTGTTCCTTTCTTGCCTGCACATCTTGTTATGGCTTATATCTAGATGTCCTCCAAGGCCTCAAGTGCTCATAGGTGGGGCTTTTGGGAGGTGACTGGATCATGGGTATGTGGTATGAGATTAGTCCACCGCTGGGTTTATAGCTGGGTTTGATGTCGGGAGATGAAGCTGATGGGAAGAGGTGGGTCACTATGGGTGTGGCCTGGAAGGGATATATATATATATCCCTCCTCCCGTGATGGCTCATTGCTTTCTGACTGCCATGCCTTTAAGTTGTGAGTGTTGGGTGTTGTGTCTCAGCAACAAGAAAGAACTAAGGCACATTTCACATCAAGCTTTATCTTGGACAGGCAGAGCTCATCTGGCCTTTAAAATGACCCTTTTAGGAAATTCTTGAAAAGTTTTAGAAGTGACTATTTTTTAATCCAACTCCACTTGGTTACATCCCTAGTTCAAGTAACAAGGCAAAGGAGAAATGTACATCTAGGCAGAAGGAAGAGACAAGAGGGGGAAAATGGGTTCAGCAAAATCTCCATTTGTTTTTCTTCAATTGCTAGCAGCAGCTCTCCTGGCAAGGTCTTTAGAGACAGGACTCACTATGGAAGACCAGGCCTGACTGTGACTATTGATTGATGTGTGCATACAAGTTTTAGGTTGGAAACTGCCTTCCAAGACAAAGCCATACAAAGGATAAAGGAACTGGCAGGAGAAATCTGGAGAAAATGAAGTTGCCCAGAAAACAGAGAGGAAATTCTACCACAGAGGAAAGTAATTTAGCCAGGAGAAAATAAAGTTGGTCTACCTCCTTCTCTAAGGAGGCCATGTAGTGTCTCCGGCAGTGTAATCAAGCACACTTTCCATTCTTTATAGCAAAGCACCAGCCCTGACTTCACTGGTGGCCTGTATTCTGCATGAACTGTCAACCTAATTGTCAGTGTAAGTGCGCTCATTGTTCAATCAGTTTACTGTTCTGTGAGTTTTTCCTCTTAAAAAACAAGTATTCAGATATATAACCTGAGTAAGTCTGCACAAAGGTAGCTACCAACATCACAGTCAGAAAATCATAAGCTGATTCTGTAACCCATAGTGTTTCTTAGGATCTAATGATCATGAATGGCCAAATATCTGTGGTGAGGGCCACACACAGTTAGATTCAAAGACAGTTACCATGCACAGGAAGTTACGCCCAGATGACGTTGTCTGAACATCTGGGTCTCTACATTCTAAACTGTAGCTTAACAACTATGAAACATCTAATAAAATAGCAACAAAAGTCATGCTAGTCTTTAATGATCAAATCAGTTCTAATATGATTATGAGAGTGTCAGGTGCAAGTTGTGATGCACTTTTGCAGAGAGCTCTGGGATGGAAACCTAATTTTGTCACTTTATCAAACTTGCTTAGTTATTGAACTATGCATTGTGGAAGTCCTTGGCAATGTAAACTTTTGCAAAATGCAAATGTATTTTATACACTAACTATGATTTTTATGCCCACGTTCAGTAGGTTCTCCCTCGTGATAGGTGTGTATCGCCTAAGCGGAGTTTTGTGGTCACCACTGCTTTCTGAAGCACACCACAGCATTGCACTGTTGGCTTGCTTTCCCTTGTTAGAAAGGAAGCCATGTGAGGGGTGAACCTGACAGATGAGCCATGTGGAAGCTCTCAAGCTATTGCTCTGCGATGCACTGACCTGGAATTGAGCATCTGGGCTGTGACACTAATCAAGACAAAAGATTTCTCAGAATAAGGTGTCCCTTACCAGCAGGTGCTGAAGTGTGGCCCCTCAGCCTGCCTCCCTCATTTCCAGCCCTGCTTAGGCAATCTTACTAATTTATCATCATCCCCTAGGAGTCCCAGCTTAAGAAACAGTGTGAAAAACACCCAGAGGGTGGCCGTCCTTTGCTTTCTACGATGGAGAGGGTCCAGGAAGAGAGCCCTGCTGGCAGGGAAGCCTCCTACAAATGAGATTCTGCATGAAGGAGAGGTGGTGGGGAGGAGGGGCTGTGACTCCCATGTTCTTACTCCTGTGGGTAGCATTTGAAACTGAAGAAGGATTTCTAAGAAGGATACTTGTGTTTAGCTGATTCACATAAGAGCCTGCTGCTCTTAAATACTTTGCATGTCCAGTATGGTGCTTTTTGGTCTCAGGACAGTTTAACTTTTCAAAGATGGCTCTGTTCTTATATATTTTTGAACTAAAACATCTTCTCATGGGGAAGAGTTAGGCTTCCCTGTATAGAAGGGAAATTCTACCTATGGACGGAAGAATTTTGGGGCATCTCCTCCATCAACCCACTAGAGTTGAGCTTTCCATTTCTGTTTGGTGGCTAAGAGAGTCTTTCCTTAAGTGCTTCATCATCCAACAGAATTCCATTAATTTTTATCTCAGTGGAAGAAAAGAGAGTTTGTAACCCACAAAAGCACAGCAAACATGAAGTTGGAGAAAAACAAGAATTGCATGACCTTGCTGTGGAGTTAGGCATGGGGCATGAAACACAAATCTTTTCTGTTTCACATAATTTATAGCATAGATCTTCTCAGATTCTGGAAACATCATTTCTGGGATCCTTTAAACCTGTCAATTCAATTAATACCATAAAAAGAAAACTCCAGAAGTAGTAGAGGGTGTAGAGAAAGTTCAAATTGGAGACATAGGTGAAGGAAAGGTTTTGGCAAACTATAAAGTGCTTCCTGGATTGGACACAACTTGCCTGTGTAAGTGCATGTGAATATATGTAAGTGGCTTCCATTTTAACTTTCCATTTTTTTTTTGGCAAAGGGGTAAACTGGATGTAAGCATAGCAGGGAAGAGAAATTGCCCATAATGCTTATGATGTTCATGGCAGAGTGGACATGCTAATTCATCCATGTCCTAGGTGGGCTACCATATTAGTTTTCAGGCAATGGGTTTTGCTTTGCTATGTTTTTGAGTGAGAATCTCAGGGAGAAAGAGACCTTCATTTTTTACTTTCTGAAAGGGGCATTTTTTTTTTTATTGAGTTTATTGGTACATTTAGGGATACAGTACAGTTACATTCATTGTTGGGATCATGTACCTTTACATGGCAAGTCTTGATTTTCATTTTTTTCCCCTTACCTCTGCCCTCCCTTCACCCCCTCCTCCCCTCCCCATCTACAAACACTTTATTTTCATCTTTTCATTCTCTCACATTTTTTTCTTTTCCCTTTTTGTTCTTCCCCTACGTATCACACCTTCCCTACACCTTTAGCTCCTTTCCTCCCATTTCTAAATGTCAGTAATCTTATTAGAATCTTATGCATTGTTGCAGAATATTCACACCAGGGAAACTATTCGGTATTTACACATGTGGGACTTATTTATTTCACTTAGGAGTATATCTTCAATATGTATCCATTTTCCTATGAATGAATCTATTCTCTCGCTCTTTATGGCTGAGTAATATTCCATTTTATAGAAAAACCACAACTTCTTTATCCAGTTTCCAACGGATGGGCAAATAGGTTGTTTCCAAGATTTAGCTATTACAAACTGTGCCGCTATAAACATGGGTGCACATACTTCTCTGTGATATGATTCTTTTAGTTCTCTTGGAAAGATACCCAACAGAGGGATGGCTGGGTCAAATGGAACCTCCAGTCCAAGCTCTTTGAGGTATCTCCATATTGATTTCCATAGTGGTTGCACTAGTCTGCACTCCCACCAACAATGGAGGAGGGTTCCTTTCTCCCCACAACCCCGCCAACATTTGTTATTGTGTGATTTCTTGATAGCAGCCATTCTTTGTGGGGTGAGGTGGAATCTCAGTGTTGTTTTCATCTGCATCTCTCGAATGACCAGTGATGTGGAACATTTTTTCATATATTTTCTTGCTGCTTTCACTTCTTTGTATGAGAAATGTCTGTTCATTTCGGATGCCCATTTTTGGATCGGGTCTTTATATTTGGGGGGACTGATTGTTTTGAGTTCTTTATATATCCTTGATAATAGTCCTTTGTCTGAGGTACAGCTGGTAAAAATTTTTTCCCACATTGTAGATTGTCTCTTAGTTCTGCTAATGGTTTCTTTTGAAGTACAGAAGCTTTTTAGTAAGATGAGATCCCAGTTGTTGATTCTTTCTGCTAGTTCCCGTGCTACTGAGGATTTGTTCATAAAGTCTTTTCCTATACCAATGTCTTCCAGAGTTCTGCCTAACTTACTTTCCAGCAAGTTTAATGTTTCTGTTTTAATATTTAGATCTTTAATCCATTTGGATTTTAATTTAGTGCATGGCGAAAGATAAGGGTCTAATTTTAATCTGTGACAGGTTGATATCCAGTTTTTCCAACACCATTTATTAAAGAGGCTATCTTTCCTCCACTGAGGATGGTGAGCTCCTTTGTCGAAGATGAGGTAGCTGAGTACATCTGCATTTGTTTTTGTGTCTTCCAGTCTGTTCCATTGATCCTCAGGCCTATTTCTTTGCCAGTACCATGCTGATTTTATCACAGTGGCTTTGTAGTATAGTTTCAAATTGGGAATTGTTACACCTGGTGCCATGTGACTGTTGCCTATAATGGCTTTTGCTATTCTAGGTCTCTTGTGGTTCCAAATGAATTTTTGGATTCTTTTTTCTAGTTCTGTGAAATATAGTGTTGGAATTTCAATTGGCATTGCATTGAATGTATATAGCAGTTTCGGTAGTATGGCCATTTTCACTATGTTGATTCTTCCTACCCAGGAGCAGGGGATATCTTTCCATTTTTTTATATCCTCTTCGATTTCTTTTTTCAGAGTGCTGTAGTTTTCAGTGTAGAGATCTTTTGTTTCTTTTGTTAGATTGATTCCTAGATACTTCATTTTTTTGGATGCTATTGTAAAAGGAATTTTTTCCCTTATTTCTCTTTCTGTCTGTCTGTTATTTGTGTATAGAAAGGCTATTGATTTTTGGGTATTCACCTTGTATCCAGATACTTTACTGAATCTGTCAATTAAGTCTAG